ACTATGGAAGAGTTAAGTTCTCTTCTCTATTCAAAGTCTATTCACATGGAGAATAAGACCAAATCTGCTCTCAACATTGACTCCACTATTGCCTATTCTGCAACTAAAAATACTAAGTCTAATTCTTTAGGATCTAAAGGCTCAAATTATGAGGACCGCAACTCTTATTGTGGCAGAAGAGGCAGATACAGTAGCAATAGGTTCTTTATGAGAGGTGCTAGAGGCAGACAAGGTCATGGACAGTTCACTCAAGCAAATTACTCTTCTACCTCTTATCAAATCTGTGGAGGTCACAATCACATTGCTCTTGACTGTTGGTTTGGATCCCAATTATTCATCCACTAACTCTTCCTTCTCATCTGGCATATCCAAATCCACAGCTTATTTTGCAGTTCAATCTCCACCTTCTTCATCTAGTCCAAAATTTTCTTCATCTGGTTCTTCCAGCCCATGGTTTGTGGACTCTGCCGCAATTAGTCACATTACCAATGATCTTAGCAATTTCCATCTCTATCAGCCCTATCATGGGACTGATTAGGTTACAGTTGGCAATGGCCAGACATTACCTATTCACTATGTTGGTAAGGGTATTTTACCAACTCCACAATCTTCTTTTCACTTTCAAGATATGCTTCATGTGCCACAAATTTCATCAAATCTATTATCTGTGCATAAGTTGGCTCAAGATTATAACTGTTCTATGATTTTTTTATGCTAACTCTTTTCTCATTTAAGACAATCTTACGAAATAGGTTCTTCATAGAGGCCCTCATATTCATGGCTTATATCAATTCACTTCTTTATCTACTACTCCTTGCTCACAAGCTTATCACACTTCTTCTCAGTCAAAGGTGTCTTTGGATAATTGGCATCAAAGATTGGGCCATCCCTCATCCTTAAAGTTTCATTACATAGCTAAACACTTACCTGTTAGTTTTTCAAATAAATGTGATGTTTTGTCTTGTACTCCTTGTAATGTAGCTAAGATTCACAAATTTCATTTTAAGCTTTCTACATCAACTGTCTCTCAACCTTTCTCTCTTGTACACAGTGATGTTTGGGGACCATTTCATGCTTCCAAGAATGGCTATCAATACTATCTTTTGTTTGTAGTTGACTTCAATAGATTTACATGGATTTTTCCTTTATTTGTTAAAAGTGAAGTGTACTCTACATTTGTTCATTTCAAGAATTATGCTGAAAATCAATTCCATCTCTCTCTCAAAATTTTTCGCACAGATAATGGTAGTGAGTTTGTGAATCATAAAATGGACGATTATCTTGCCTCTCATGGTATCATTCACCAGCGTAGTTGCCCCTATACTCCTGAATAGAATGGTATTGCAGAAAAAAAAAAAATCAGCATATCACTTAAACTGTTATTGCTTTACTGTCTCAATCTTTTGTCCCTCTTGAGTATTGGTTTAAGGCCATAGCTAGTTCTGTTTTTCTTATTAACAGGATGCCTAGTCTATCTCTAAGTCATTCATCTCCTTATTAGTTATTGTTTAAATCAATTCCAGATTACACTTTTGTCAAAGTCTTTGGTTGTCAATGTTTCCCTTGACTTAGGCCTTACAATTCCAACAAACTTCAACCTAGATCCATTCCTTGTGTCTTCTTGGGCTATCATCCTTCTACTAAAGGCTATAGATGCTTGGATCCCATTACAGGCAAAGTTTTTCTCTCTCGACATGTCTTATTCAATGAGAGTTATTTTCCTTTGCTCACACTACTGTAGTCCCTCCTACTTTACCTGTCATTTCTTCTTTCTTTTGGTCCTCTGCTCCCTCTACTGTTCAGTCTGCTCCTACTCAACTTTTTCCTGCTCCTCCATCCAGCTATGATGTGTCTTAGTTCCCTGCAGCTCCTATAGCTCCTCAATCTACTCTTGCTCCATTCTCATCTACTATACAGCCTACTGCCCAACCTAATGCCCAGCCTACTACTCAGCCTACTGCAACTACTCAGTCTTTTTTACCTCCTATCTTATTAACTCCTACTTCCACTTCTGCCCTTGTCTCTATTCCCATTCATTCTATATCTATTGATCTTCGTTTTTCTTCTCAATCTCTTTCTAATGTTCATCCTATGCAAACCAGGTCCAAAACTAAAGCTCTTCTAACTCATACTCCTGATCTTATCCACATAGAACTTGTCACCACTAAGCTGGCTCTTCAATATTCTATTTGGTTTTAGGCCATGACTGAAGAAATTCAGGTTCTCCATCATCAAGGCACCTGGTCTCTAGTGTCCCTTCCTTCTCAAAAGCCTTCCATTGGCTGTAAATGGGTTTTCCGCATCAAAAAGAACTCAGATGGCTCTATTGCTCACTATAAAGCTTGACTTGTTGCCAAGGGCTATCATTAACAAGAAGGTATTGACTACCATGAGACCTTCAGTCCAGTGGCCAAACAACCTATAATTCGTGTGCTTTTGTGCGTAGCTCTCCATCACCATTGGCCTATTAAGCAGTGTGCTTCAGGTTTTTGTGTGTTCCTTGGTCCAAATCTTATTTCCTGATCTGCTAAAAAGCAGGCCACTGTCTCTAGACCCTTAACTAAAGCTGAATATAGATCCATGACTTATACTGCTGCTGAGTTATGTTGGCTTCAATTGTTGCTCAAAGAGTTGTCTATCTCTTGTTTTTCTTTCCCTGTTCTTTGGTGTGATAATGTGTCAGCTATGGCTTTGGCTTCAAATCCAGTCCTTCATGCACGTTCGAAACATATTGAAATAGATTGTCATTTTATTTGTGAAAGGGTTGCTTCTAAACAAATTTCTCTTTCTTATATTTCTTCGATTGATCAGGTTGCTGAGATTTTTACCAAGCCCCTGTATTCTTCTCAGTTTTATTATCTTAAGGACAAACTAATGGTGCTTTTTAACCCCATTGGTTTGCGAGGGAATGATAAGAGCATTGAGGAATACTCATCTCAGCAGCTCAAGACACAAGTGCAGCCAAAAGAGAAGCCAACACAAAACACCTCAGCTAACACATGTGCAAGATATCAAAGCAGTTATAATAGATATGGTTATGAGAGTAGAGTGAGTTAGTTAGATTTTTAGTTAGTTAGATTGTTTTGTAAAAACTCACTGATAATACATTGAGTATAAATATCTGTAAACCTTCATCATATCAAATAAGAAAGAAAGATATTTTTTTCTTTACAATTGCTATTAAATTAGAACTCTAGTTTTAGAGGAATGTATCATAGTTGTTTGCTTTCAATCTAAATAGGGCTGAGGTGGATTGGGTTCTAAATAAGGACCTTTTTTTAGTCTAAATTGTGTTGCTTTATGTTGTAATTAAGTTATTTAGATCTTAGTTTTAGTTGTGAAGTGTTATAATTTTTTGGAAATTTAAAATTATGAACAAAATACAGAGAAATTTGTGAAGAAAATTAGAGAAATTCTCCGTGAACAAAGCTAGAGAAATTTTAATTTTCTCTAGATTTCTCTAGATTATACTAAGAGAAATTTCAATTTTCTCTGGTTTGAACCTAGAGAAATTCTCTGTACGTAATTTTTCTGGTCTTCCCAGAATCTCTAGATTGGAACCAGAGAAGTTCTCTAAAAGGTCTAGAGAAATTTCCAGAATTTCTCTGATTCAAATTTTCTCTGAATCAATTTTGAGGGACCTTAGTTATTATAAAAATATTGAATGTCCTTTATGTTATAAAATCTTAATACCAGGGCTCTTAAAAACAAATTCAATTTTAAATTGGTTCAACTTTAAGATTTATTTCCAAATCTAAAAATTAATTGCTTAAATTCTTATGCATTTTTAAAAGTATATATATATATATATATATTGTTTTGGTAATGATAAAAGGAGCCTATATGGCTGAAATGAAACAGTGTACTCTCATTCTTCCTTCTAGGTTTAATCAATTTTGGGTTAGTTATAAAATTTTAAATTGGTTCAACTTTAAGATTTCATTTCCAAATCTAAAAATCAATTGACTTAAATTCTTATGCATTTTTTTTAAAAAAAATATTGTTTTGGTAATGATAAACCAAAAAAAATGATTTATCTACATAATTTGTTGTCGTTTGAATCCTTTAAATTTGTGTCATTTGAATGATCGATTTCACTCTTGTCCATGCGGTTGTCACCCTATTATCTGGATGATGGACCGGTCAACGTGCCTACCGACTAACATACAACATCAAATTTGACAGATGTAGATAAAAGCAGCCTGGATGAGTGAAATGAAACAGTCTATACTCTCAATATTCTCTACCAGTTGCGATAGCTCTGGAAGTAATTATTATCAATCATGTCTTCAATGTACTTTGTAACCTTCTTTTTCCCTGAATGAAATAATGGGTTGGACATTGATTTAGACCTCCTTAAAACACCCACCCCCACAACCCCCTCACACATATGGAGGTTGGGGATTGGGTGAGAAGAAAAAAAAAAAAAAAAAAAATTGACCAATCAAAACTAAAGGAAGTCAAGGGGTGACCCCCAAAGGGATCTCAACCTCTATTCTAATGTGGGTATTATCGTCATCATCAATCATATCTTTAATCTTTAATGTACTTGCAAGTAACCATCTTTTTCCCTAAGATGAAGGAACATATATTTAATTCATTCTATTCAATTATAAAAGTTTTATATCATCACCATAAGCTCAGAAAAAGGCAGATATGTCTCATCTCAAAAAAAAAAAAAAAAAATGTAGCATAGAAAATTTAAGGTACATTGCATAAAATCATCTTGTTGTAATTAAGATTTTAAATATCAATTAATATTATTTAATACTGATTGATATAGACTATTTTAATATTGATTGATATATCATTGTATTGCTAATATCAATTTCTTTATTTAAGACACAAGCTCAAAAAAAAGCCTTATGATTAAGAGGAAAAAAAAGAAAAAAAAAAAAAAAGTCATACATATAGTAATAAGAACATAAATGATGATTAGATTATTCTAAAATATGTATGTATATTAATTATTTAAAGAAAGAGAAGAGAAAAGTAGGTACCTTGGATGAAGGCTATTCTTAACAACTTTCTGGCCATATTTCCTCCATTTGTAACCATCATCAAGCACATCCACCACCTCACTTCTTGTCTGAAAACAAAACCTTGGCTCTCTAAGTTTTCTCCTCATCTTAACCTTGTTCTTCTCGGTCGATGAGCTCCTCCACCTACATGTCAATTCAAATCCATTCTCAATGACTCCATAAGAAAGATGTAATTCCATTTTTTTTATCGAGTCCTAATAGAAACCAAAGATCTTGAGCAACTGATTCGGCAAAACAACTCAAAAAGATAAACAAGCATTGTTAATTTTTGAGTTACTCAATAACAATCTCTCTCTCTCTCTCTCTCTCTCTCTGTGTTGTTAAAAGGTAAATAAAATAGAAACAGCAAACCAGTAATGGAGACTTGAAATTGGTGGGCTTGCCAATGAGTAGCATCAAGACTATAGTAGGTCTAGTACTCATTCCTTCCCACAACACCAACAACGCATAACAAAGGGGGGAGAGAGAGAGAGAGAGAGAGAGGTGACATCTGTACAAAAAGCATATTCTAACCAAATTCAGTAATCTGTTTCCCATAAAACTAGATCTCCTTAGATTCTCAGTGAGAACATAAGGAAACTTGTCTACATTCTCTCTCTTACATGTGTGTGTGTGTGAGAGAGAGAGAGAGAGAGAGATGCATGATGTAGAATGATTTCATTGGAGATCTACTATGTGGGTAAATTTCCTTTATAAGGGAGATAGTATGGTTCTAAATTAATTATGATATAAGGACATATCAAGACAAGTATATATTGATGTATTTTTATTGGTCGATGTATCAATATAGTTTAACCTAGTAAAGAAAAAGCAAAAAAAAAAAAAAAAGTTTAACCTAGTAAAGAAAAAAAAAAAAAAAAAAAAAAAAAAAAAAGGGTTAGAGAGGGGATTACCATGAATTGCTACCATCCTTGGCATTTTCATCATTAACGTTCTTGGGATCCAATTGCGCCTCCTAAATTTCAATTACAAACATTAATTAGAGAGCTTAACAAGAACAAGAAGGGAAAAAAAAAATTGAATTTTATATTATTCATGAATTTCTCAAGGAGCATATACCAACATGTAATATTACAAATCCTTTATTATGATTAAAATTAAAAATTAAAATAAAACAAATCTAACTGCCTTACCTGCTGGTTGGAATTCCATGAAGGTCTGCTACTGAGTCCATTATGGCCAAACCCCATGCCAGCTTCGGTATCGTTGTTATTGGTGGTGGTAGTGGTGGTGCCGCCACCGTTGAGAGGCTGAGATGGGGCCAAGAAGCTCATGACCTGGTTATGATCTTCAAACTGTACAAAACCCATTTCCTGGATCACATGCGGTGGCGCGAACGATACCTGCAGCTCGTAATTCGGTATCCCTCCTCTCTCTCCTTCCATTTTTTGTGTTCAAAACTTCAAATCAAACTAGGTTTGTTTGATGGATTGTTTAGAACTTTGCTTGTTTGATCTTGTTGATTTCTTCTTGTTTGTGTTGGGTGGTGCATATGTGTACAATACTACAATGCGTGAGTACAATACCGCAATGCATGTGTGGAGGGTGTGATGTGTTTTGGGGGGTGGGTCACAGGTCAACTACAAAACGCTGAATGGAATGTTTCTCAACATCTTCCTAGGGTTTTTGGAGTCTGTCTGTCTCTACACAGGACATGAACAGTGACCCTCCACTTTTCTTTTTCTTTCTCTCTCTCTCTCAAAAATTCCAGCCTCTCTCCACCCCCAATAATTGGATTGACTGTGGGCCGCTCCGGGCTCGATGATCGAATTATTCACCTATCGGCTTATTCTGAATAGGCCATTAATATAAAGTAAAATAATTGATTTATCGAATTTCACCTTGCTCGAATTGTTTTCGATGATTCATTGGATAACTTGTAGTTGTCACTCTTGTCAACTATAACTATCATTCTTATTATTAATTGCTGTGTCAACCGACATCCTCCTGAATGACTAGCCGAACGACTGACATACACAAATTCAAACAATTCAGACAAGCTCAAATTCGATGAATGTAATATTACTAAATGTAAAATTTCAATTTAATCAAAAATTTACAACTATATAATTTGATCATATTTATTTTTAAAATAATAAACAGTAAGTATTCTCTTAAATAAACATAAGTTGATCGTATAATAATTAATATTTGATCAAATTAATTTTTCACAAGAAAAATTATTTAATAATAATTAAAATATAATTAGTTTAATAAGCCTACATGTGTAATGATCAGCTCTCTTAAAATCGCAAGATTAGTTGAATATCGCCCTTGACTATTGAAAAAAATTCTAAAAACACATAAATTAGTTATAAAATAGAACACGATCTTTTTACATGAAATGTGTTTTATTTTTTTGTGAGTCTCACGCTCATATCTAATTATGTAATTAACTTTTATACAAGCAGACTAACTGTTAATTATAAGACTTACACAAGGCACTAGAACAGTTTAAAAAATATACCAGTGTTTTTTATAAGACTTGGGTTTGTCTCTGGTCTAAAATCTGGATTAAAGGTGTTGTCCGGACACCATAGATCTTATTTCGATAATTTAAACTGTTTATTTTGTAGGACATTGCGTGTGTATCATCCATAAAAAAAAAAAAATTAGATTGATCTCATAACTATAACTTTTTTCATTTTATTGTGTTTATCTCCAACAAAATAAGCAATAAGTAGACCATTCATTTTTTTTAGATACACATGCAATAAAATAAAGAAATTACAATTATCAGATCGATCTAAATATTTTCATGGATGACATACAGACAAGGCCTTACAAAATGAACGATTTGGATTATTAAAATGGAGCTCATGACTTGCCCCATGGATTTGATCGTAGACAAACGTGATCCTTTTATCAAGATACCTGAAGAGTATAAAAAATATTAAGGATATAATATAAATAATAACATTTTTCCTCTAATAACTTATTTTTAATATAATTGATTTTTTTTAATTTTTTAGATGAATTGATTGTTAACAATTTAATAACCAAGGAAAAAGGCATATGACACTTTGAATACTATTTATTCCAGATTAAAAAAAATATTCAAAAAATTGCTACTATTGCCAGATCAATTAAACTAAAAAAATCTTATACTATTGCCAGAACAATTCTAGCTCTTGATCAAAACAAAAGGAGCAAAGTAAAAAGTAACATTTTTCTTATAAAAAAAATAAATAAATAAAAGCAACAGGTTTAAAGGGAAATTGAATCTTGGTTATTTATTATATAAACAAAAGGTCATCATCATTATATATTTATTTATCCCAATGAAACAAAAAGTCCTCATCATTATACTTTTATAAACAACATTCAAATCAATATATATAAATTGTAATTTTCTTTAATAATGATATGTTACTAGTAAAACTTGTATTTAATCATATGTTTGCATATGAAAAAATAAAATATAAATAAATAAATAAATAATTACCATGTAAAAAAACACTTATAAAGAGTCTTAGGTCTCGTTTGACAATTCAATATTTTAGTTTAAAAGTCAAAAAGTCATTAAAAAAATTAAAAAGTCAGTAACATATATCAAAAAAAGTTAAAGATTCATTTTTCTCTCTCCTTTTTACACGTCTTTTTGTAAAAATTTAAAAAATCATTGCAAACATATTAATTTTTTTTAAAATTATATTTAGGCAAAAAATTCCTAAAATAGTCTGTTCCCAAACAGGACCTCAATTAAAATTTTCAACTTAAGTCTCCGAATGTCAAATTTTTTGTTCTATTTTCAAAGTTTTGGGAAAATTATGCTAGTAATCCTTACATTTTAGCTTTTATATCATTTTGATCTTTACACTTTCAGTTTGATCAATTTTCACCCTTAATTTTAGATTTTGCATCAATTTGGTCCAATTGATAAAAATGTTTAGTTTTTTTTTTTTTAAACAAAAAATAATCACTAGGTTTGTTGAAGTTTTTTTTTTTTTTTATAATCTTTTGACAAAAGTCATTTATTTGTTGTTAGATAAGTACCAATAGGAATTATTCTCCCTATGCTTGCAAAACACTAAGTGTTTGCCTCCTAATTCAACTCTCCTAAATAAAAGTTGAACCCATGACCTTCTTTTGGAAATTAAGCTTATAGGAGAGTCATGATGGGCAACTAAATTATGCATAGTTGGTTGAGTTGGTTGAAGTCATTAAATTGGTCAACTTTACAATTTAACTCATAAAATCAAAACACATGCCGCGCATCATAAAAAAATGCTAACAATTGATATCAATTGGATCAATTTGAGGAAAAGTAAAAAAACTTAGAATTAAAGTCAAGCCAATTGAAATTACAGAGACCAAAATGACACAAAAATTAAAATATATGGACTAGTAGTATAATTTATCCCAAAGTTTTTTTTTCCCCCTTTTTTCAAAAATCAAAATGAAGTGAAAAAAAAAAAAAAAAAAACCCTACAACTAAAACCACAAACCACTTACTGCTAAATATATGCTTCCTTGTTTGCATGACAATATTGTTTGATCATCACCTGTCTTTTTTTCTTTTCTTTTCTTTTCTTTTTTTTTTTTTTTTTTTTTTTTTTTTTTTTTTGGATCGGCTTGACCATCACCTGTCTGAGGAAGAGATTTCTTTATTTTCTGATTTTACATGTTAAATTTGACTGGAAAAAAAAATTCATTTATCTTGGCCGCTTGCTCATCAAATAAATGAGAAGCTTAAATTACTATCCTGAGTAAGTCTCTAGGTTCGTGGATCCGAACCCTTTCGAGGCTTAGAGCCATTTAGCCTGTTTGATGGTGATAAATTTGGGCCCACCAATCTTGGACTATTGGGCCTAATTAATTTAATGGACTCAAATTAGCCCCTCTTACACTCATCAAATAAATGAGAAGCTTAAATTACTATAAACATAGCAGTATTTAGAACCATGATCATTACTATAAGTTCTATACTCAGTGGATGTATTTGCAGAAAACAGCTGATCTAATTCTTTCACAGAAAGGGAATCAACCTTCAAAGTTAAGGGGTGGTTAAAAATCAACAAAGTGGAATAAACACCTAAAATGATTAATGCAGCTAAGTTTTGGTCTTGTTCAAAAGTAACAGATTGTTTTGCTTTTTCTTGTTGCAACCCTTGTAATATGTGTTATATAGGATTTTAAATGAGTGTTGTTATTAGCACTTCATTTATTATTTTAGATCTCTTATTTTTTAATTTTTTTTATTACAATAATAATCTTAAATAAAATTACTAAAGAAGACATTAATCATTTTGGGATACTCCATCTCACAATTAAGCCCCCCCCACACACTAAATCATGAGATAGGGTTTATAAGAGTACCCACCTCCATCATCACCCATCTACCTTTCCCAAATCCCACCTTTAAATCTACCCACTCTCAAAACCTTGAGAACTCTTTGATGGTAACATTCCGGCAACAACGATGTCAATCGCTTGATTACACACACTTTTTCAGCAATGGCAATAAGTGAAAGTTTTTCCAACAATCACAACTTTATGAGGCGAGAGAAGTACGACAATATAAATTTAGAAAAGATTCATAGTTTTGATAGTGTTCTCAGCTCGAATGAGGTCTTACAAGGAAAGTTTCTTGAAAAACACAGTAAAATTGATGAAAACTATCTGTATTTTTTCGGTACTGAACTCGCAAACATATGATCAAATTCGAAAACACTGGCCCGAACACTGCTTATTTGTTCCGAAACACAAGCCCGAACATTGATTATTTGTTTGGGAATACAATTCCAAACATAAAAATTTTATACACTTTGAAGGGTTAAAATTTTTCACATTTGCAAAAGTTTTCATTTTATCAAGTTTGGAAACACAAGCCCGAACATGGCTTATTTGTTCGAGAACACAATTCCAAACATTCTTAGTAAAAGATAAAGAGGAGAGACTTCAGGGGATAGGGGATGAGAGGGAGTTTTTTTTTTTTTTTGACTAGGGGGAGAAGCGAGATTGAAACTATGCAAAATGCAGATTTGCTCCTTTTGAACTATACCTATACATAGTTTTTTTTTTTTTTTTTTTTTTTTTTTTTTTTTTTTTTTTTTTTTGGAACTGCAAGAAAAAACTTTATTGATGTAAGAAGAAACTTTATTGGTCTATATATATACATATATATCTGTTGTCTTCAAGGTTAGGGTTGATCAAAGAAATGGGTGGAATTGAAGGAAGATATACACACCTAATGTGAAGAAAAAAGTAAAAATCATAGAGAACACATTCCTTACAATGATCGATTCACTTCAGAAATATTTTTCTTCCATCGTGGTAAGAGAGACAATTGGTTTTGGGGAGGTGTTTTTTTTTTTTTTTTTTTTGGGTAGGATTTTGGGAGATAATAGTTTTTAGGGGTGTGCATTTAAGTAGGGTGAAATTTTCATAAGGATAATTTTGAAATTATTTGAAGGGAGGAAAGAAATTTTAAGAATTTTAAAATTTATAAGTGGAGGATCAAAGAAATGGGAGTCCAAAATAATAAATGAGATTTTAATAATAGCACTCTTTTAAATGAAGGGGAAATTACATTTCACAGTAATTTTTTAAATATAATTACAGATAAGATATAAACTTTATTAACATTAATAATTAAGCATATTTTGGAAAGTGTGTTAAAAGTCACTTCCTAACTTTTAACACACTTACCTCTCTCACAAAAAAATAAAAAAAGTCAAAAAGACCAAAAACAGTCAAAAAACGGCTTTTAACCATCTTCTCAAAATACCCCT